GGCAGTCTGGATATATTTCAGTTTGTCCAGTGGTGGAGGCACCATCCCTGGAGGGATTGAAAAGGTGCGTGGATGCGGCATTTGGGGACATGGAATTGGCACTGCTGGGTTAACGGAGGGATTTAGTGATCTTCAAGGTCTTCTCCAGCCTAAATGATTCCATGAGTCTGTGGTCTGGACACAAAAGATGTTTCCCATTCTGGATCTGAGATCCTGTGATAGTTTCCCATTGTGGATCTGAGCTCCTGTGATACTTTCCTATCCGAGGTCTGAGCTGCTGGGATAGTTTCCTGTCTCAGATTTGAGATCCTCTGATAGTTTCTTATCCGAGATCTGAGCTCCTGTGACAGTTTCCTATCCCATATCTGAGATCCTGTGATATTTTCCCATTCTGGATCTGAGATCCCATGATGGTTTCCCGTTCCGGATCAGAGATCTTGTGATAGTTTCCCATCCTGGATCTGAGATCCTGTGATAGTTTCCCATTGTGGATCTGAGCTCCTGTGATAGTTTCCCATCCTCAATCTCAGCCATTCCCGAGGATGGGTTGACTCACCTACACCAGAACCCAGTAGAAAGCCCCAGGAGAAATATTCCCTGGGCAGTGGGGCCTGTGCTGGCCCCTGATTTCCCCAGGGAAAGGTGTGTTCCATTGCTGCTGTGAGTGTTAAACAAAGTCCCCTCTCAGCCTGGCCCCTCTCCCTCTCCTCTCCTCGGCTGCCATCCATCTGCAGCACTGGGGACAGGGTTCAGTGGTGGCACTGGCAGTACTGACTTAACAGATGGACTTTGGGATTCAAGGTCTCCTCCAGCCTAAATGATTCCATGAGTCTGTGATCTGGACAGAAATCACATTCCTCGTGATGCAGAAACCTTTGAGGGGATGTTTGGTCCCCTCTCAACCCCAAGACAATGGGAATGGAAAGCACTCCAGCAGGAGAATAAGGAAGCAACATCCCAGCACTGCCCAGGGCTGTGCTGTCCAGACTGAAGGGGTCTGAGGTGACCATGGGATGGCCCACAAGGGCAAGAGAATGGAGGGAGAAGGGGGAAAAATGAGAACTGTGGGAAAGCTCTTATTTCTGTGGGTAAACTCAAGTTTCCTGTTCCAGACTTGAGATCCTGTGATAGTTTCTTGTCCCAGATCTGAGATCTTGGGATAGTTTCCCATCCTGGATCTGAGCTCCTGTGATAGTTTCCCATCCCGGGTCTGAGATCCTGTCATAGTTTTCCATCCTTGATCTGAGCTCCTGTGATAGTTTCCCATCCTGGATCTGAGATCCTATCCCGGATCTGAGCTGCTGTGATAGTTTCTTGTCCGAGATTTGAGATCCTGTGATAGTTTCCCATCCTGGATCTGAGATCCTATCCCGGATCTGAGCTGCTGTGATAGTTTCTTGTCCGAGATTTGAGATCCTGTGATAGTTTCCCATCCTGGATCTGAGATCCTATCCCGGATCTGAGCTGC